GGCCAAAATGGTCTACTTTTTTAGTGCTACGTTTGTGATGATTTGTGCAGGTAAAATTAGTGTTTGTAATGCTACGGTTTCCGAGATATTGAAAGTTATATTTTTTGCTGATGACGTCACCATCCCCCCAGACTGCTCCAAAACCAGCCAAAATTGTCTACTTTTTTAGTGCTACATTTGTGCAGATTTGTGCAGGTAAAATGAGTGTTTGTAATGCTACGGTTTTCGAGATATCAAACATTATTTTATAGGTCATTCAAAGGTCACCCTCCCCCCAGACTGCTCCAAAACCAGCCAAAATTGTCTATTTTTTTTAGTGCTACATTTGTGCAGATTTGTGCAGGTAAAATTAGCGTTTGTGCTGCTATGATATGAGATATTCTGTTATGGTGTTACTGCTGAAAAATGTCTTCTTCAGATGACCTTTCACTTTGTGTGTTCACTTGTTCAATAAAGTTCTGTTAAAAAACCCTCTTGTTGTATTTAATCAGCTAAATTTGTAATGAGTGTATTTTTTTTAACTTCAATTTCTTTACTTCAATCACATTTTGTTCATAAATCCACGATAAAAAAAAATAAATACTCAAGCATTTGCAGAGTGGATTAAAAAAACTTTATTGAAAACTACATTTGAAGATTTCACAGTCCCATGAACACTTTTTGAGAAACGAACAAGCTAGCAGTCTTTTGCATCAAATACACATTTTCTGGCAGAAAAAACTATTATTTGGCATTACTGTGTCTGAAGGATTCCTAGAACAGCGTGTTACATCTGATTTCTGAACAAGGTAAGCTTACATTTAAAATACTGAGGTTTTAGTTACTGAGTTAATACATGATATAGCTAACTGTCTGGATCAAAAGGATTTTTTTTTTCAATGTAAAACATTTTCAAAAATGTCCAAGAAAAACGTTTCTAAAGCACTTCAAAAACATGTAGCGCAGTTGACTAAAGTGCTGTACAGTACATGTTAGTGGGTTAAACACTCATTTTAATAAACTCACAAATTCAATAGCTCCATCTTAAAAACAATAACTCCACAAAATATGAAAGCGTAGATTGGTGGAGAACTTGGGGGAGGGGTTGCTCCTGGCTGTATATATAGGTCAGAAATCACGTTTTGCTCCATCATAATCATAGTTTGTTAGGGTTAGGTATTACGGAATTGTAGCTTAGTTGTACTTTTTTAAGCTTAGGTGCACGGTCCTAGCGGCCAACTGGACCCTTACTCTCCCTTCAATGTCCCAGTGTGGTTTATATGTTCCTCCTTTGTTTGCCTCCTGC